AAAAAAAAAAGTCAAATATTGTGTATTTATTTTTATTTGTATATCAGTCCAATACAACACATTATAGATTATTTAAGGAAGTTTAAAGCACATTGTAAAATGGGATAAAGAGAAATTCTGTCTAGAGTTTCCTTTTATAGCAGCAGTAGTCTTGCAGAATGGTATAAATTTGTCAAAGCCTGTTTGTTTGCCCTATAAAAACACATTCAGACCTGTAAGGCACCAAGACCTCCCCAGTGCTCTGTAACCATCTGACTGTTTCTTTCACTTTTATGGATGATTTTACAAATTCTTTCCTGCCCGAGCCTGAGTTCACGATTATTTCCTTCCTCCAGGTTTATGGTGTGATAAGAGGCTGTTCCTGTGCTTTGTTGCAGTAAATTTGTGCTGTTGGTACCGGATACAGGGCTCGCATTATACTTTATTGTATAATATTGTAACGGAAACAAAACATAAAAAAATTGCTCTCTTTTTTATTCGGGCTACTTAAATTTATTTTGGGCTACCAAAAACTGAAGAGTGCCGGCCCAAAGGGCTACCAGGGATTTTGAAATTTTGCGAGCCTTGAGATATATAGCCTGCTTGTTCTGCAGGCTTTCTCACTCTGTAATGTTGTTTTCGTGCTCAGAGAATGGATTGAAATCTATGGGAGAACTCTGCAACAGGATGGTAGAAGTTTACCTCCTAGGGAAAACGTCTATATAATGCCTTATTTTGGGGCAGCGCCAGCAAATGTCTGAAGCATTTCTTGCCATGTTTCACAGTCAGTCCTGATGCATGCTCAATGATCCAGGTTAGAAAATGGCACAAAGTCGATTCTGTTCAGGGTAATGAAATCTTCCTCCCACTGAAAACATCCAGAGGAAGCAGTTTGTTTGCCCTAGTCAGTGAAATTAAGTTAGATATAATTTAGTTAATCCTTCAAAATAAGTGGGCAGAGGCACATCAGTAAGGTGGCCGAGTGACCAGATCAGCTTCTTTGGATAATCCCTCATATTTCCACGTTTTTTTAATGCTCTCCTTTTTTCCACCCTCTCCAGGACTCCAAGCTGCCTCTGTCTCTGAGGAGCAATCTGCTGGACCTGTTCAGTCAGATCGAGAGGGAGTTTGAAAACCTCTACATAGAAAACCTCGAATGTAAGTTCCCATGAAAGCAGAAGTGATTGCTCTAGCTTTTGTAATAATTCACTGTGCAAGAGACCCAACACAAAAACGAAAGCAGTTTGCATTTCTTAATTTTATTCAATCCATTTAACTTTTTTTATTAAGATGTATGAAAAAAATTATAAATTTCTACAAAATAAAATGAATTTATCAGTCTCTGTGGCCAGTAAGCAGAAAGCTGCTACTCAGCAACGGAGAGTAACTTGCTAACCCTGCTGTGGTGAATAAAACGACACATTCAGATGTCTTTTAATGCGCAACATGTTTGACTTTCAGTACGCAGAGAGATTGAAACACTGAATGATCGCTTGGCTGCAGAGGGACAAACATTTGAAGGGGCGGATTTGGCAAAAGGAGCACTTAAAACAAAAGGTGAGATTCATGTACAGTTATGTTATAGGTAGCATTTCATATATTACTCATCTTTTTTTTGTTTGTTTTAATCCTCTGACCTTTGACTTCTCTGATTTCTTTTTGTTTTTTTATGAAATTCCCAGCGAGCCACAGCACCAGCCAGCTCTCTCAAAAGCTGAAGACGACCTACAAGGCCTCAACGAGCAAGGTAAATCGAAAATGTTTGTAAATTAAATTGTTTTATGTATCTGATATTATAAGTTACCAGTTTGTAAGGTTTTGGAAAGTTTCTGCAATTATTGCTTATAAACAGATAAACAGAGTTTCTGTAAATCCTTCCTTCACAAAAGATCTGAAGTTCAGTTTTTGTGAGCCTTTGGGTGCTTTTCATTATACTAACGTGTTTCCTCATTTCCTCCAACTGTGGCTCTTCCTTAAATCAGCTCAAAATAACTGATATAAATGACCCAGAACTCAAATAAAAGGTAGTTACTTATTAAATACTTGAACTGACAAAAATAGCTGATTATTATTAATATTATTAGCAGTAGTAATACTGTTTGTTTTAATCTATATATTGAATATTCCTTTTAAACCGTCCAATTTATGTACAAGCGTCTTCTTCTTATAAGTTCTCGGCTGTTTATTTATCTTCATTATTATAACCTGAAGGGTAATAAACGGTGTGGCTGTGTAAGCGTGTCAGTGGTAAAATAAACAGCTACTTTGTGTGATGATTCAACATTTTGCCATAAAATTATTTCTTTATTTCAGGTTTATCACACATTATGTGTGATGGCACATTATTCATATCATATATTTACCATGTAAACGTTCTATTATCTGTTGATTCTTACTCACAGCACAGCAAAGGAAGCACAGTGAGAGTAAACTGTGCCGTGTAGAGGTGCAGCTCGTATACGTCACCTCAATTTAAAAAGAACAAACAAAAAAGCAAGACTTCAGTATAGATGCATCATTTCTGAGCCATGGGAGGAGAGACGAAGCTCGTTGGCATCATGAAGAGCACCCTTAGTCGATTTTTAATATTATTTTGTCCATCTGAATTTATATAAAGAAAACAACGCAGTAAAAATGTTCAGTGTCACTTGTTTTGCGGTCAGTAAAAGACAAAAAAAAGGTTTATTTGGCGCCTGTTTCCGTTTTGTCCGTGTGAGCTCACGTGACTTTTGAATGTTAAAGAAAAGAATTGCTTTGCTTTCTTTTTTCACCTTTTTGCTTGTAGCCGCGTTCAAATTCTTGCCATGCCAGAGTAGGTGGATCCCGCAACTTCAGCGTAACCAGCTGGGAGTTGTGGGGTGGAGACTCATGGGTAACTTGTTGATTTCTTCCCCTTGTGTGCCAATATGCATGAACAGCCCAGCCAGGGGGGCGAACCTCCCTCCCCAAGAGACTTGGTCATCCAAATGTAGGCTTTTGAGCTTTTCTCTCATTACCTGCGTGAGATAAACCAGCTCTTTATCATCTCCCTAACGGGCCTTTTCAGTTGCACCTTTTTATTTCGTTTTATGCTGCTACCGTCGGCATTCACATAATGGTACACTCTGGAGGCATCTTTAACACGGACCAGCTTCAAAATGCTTTTTGAGGAGCATTTCCTGGCTGCTCTAGATCATTGCTGGCAGAGTCACGTGTGTGGCCTGCTCAAAAGTCTTTGCCTATAACAGATTTTGCTTTTTTAAACAAAAACGTTTAGAGTTTTCACTTGGATTACTTTTTAACTGTCAGTATTAATGGTGACTTTAAATATTTGGGTGACTTAAAATGACAGAAAACCCAAACATATCTTCATATTTGTTTTAAAACTTGGCCGTAGGAATCCCGGGTTACTTGAACTTCCTCAATTAAAGTAACAACCCAGACAGAACGACTCATTTTCCTGGTAAAAACATGAGGTATGATCAGTTTTTAGGGCATGGGACTCTAAAACTCAAAAGCCTTACCATAGCTGTTTTATTTATTTATTTAATTTAAGATCCCCAAGTGGGAGGAGTCAAAATACTATGTATTAGAAAATACTAATACATAGAAAATGGGGAGTCTTCTGTTGAAAACTGCTCAGCTGTAGCTGCATGTCCAGCTCTCATCACTGCTGATGATCCTTCATCAGAAAGTTGATGTTTGCTCTCATTGTGAGTTTGAGGACTTTGGTGGCCAGAATGATACTTATGCAGAGCAGCCTGAAACCAGCAGCCAAGTGGGGGACCCCGAACACAAGACCAGCTGTTATTCATACCGTGGAGTGATATATCGAATAAAAAATCCACACTTTTAACTGATTATTTTACTAAGAAAAGCAAAATCTCACTGTGGCTGTGGCAGCCTGCACTCTGACACTACAAACTGTAGAGAGTCACTGCTCCGTAATTCTTCTGCAGCGCTTCGCATTTCCTTAAACCTCCCCAAACGTCCCTGTTGCTGCTTTTTTTAATGTAACATGGTGCGTCGATGTTACAGGTGCACAAGTTATGGATTAATATCATTCCCAGTGTTATAACAGAAGACCTAAGAAATCACTTGCTTCATATTATTTATTTTTGTACACGAGAACGTACTGCTCTGCTCGCTAACAATCACAACCACTGGTTCACACCCTGTCATCCGTTTGACTATCATTTGTTGTCTTCAATCCTTCAGATTTTGTTTAATGTTTCTCTTGGTTTGTGTATCAGATGATTGATTTCTGTCTTGATGTTCTCCTACTTTGTTTCAGTTGGAACTTATTTAGTGGTCTGTGCCCAAAACGAGCCAGAAGTCCTGTTTGTATCATCCCCATCTTTAATGTAAACGTCTCAACCAAATCTTGATACAGATGACAAAAACTACTCCTTGGTTTCGTGTCTAACCATAACTTTGGCCGCTTTGTTTTCTTTTTTCCTCCCTCTTTTAGTTTTAGTGATCTGCAGTACTGATACAGTATGAATAATGCGAACGCTTTGATCTGGGTTCGTCTGGTAGTTTGTTTTAAAGCTCGTCTGAGTGTGCGATTGCCAGTCTGATACTTCAGGAGCTTTAAAAGAAACGGGAACAAAGATATTTTGGTAAAAGCTCTTGAACCCAGTGAATAACACTGCTGTTCACCAAAGCTAATTAGCACTGGCATACTATAAGGACCCTGCTGAGCAGCTCCTCAGTGATCCTCAGTCCTGCTGACCTGCTTCCTCCCTCCCTCCATCAGAGCAGGGTTCCTACACAGCTCGAGAAACTGATGGCTTAACAATAAAATCTGTGATCAAATTGAACTTTAGATTTAGTAACATCTTAAAACTTTAATCCCCTTTAAAGAATAAAAAAAACCCAAACCAAAATGCCAAAGAGGGGCCCAGAGAAAGATGACGAGTGTCAGGAGAGACAGTGGGGTCAGTTAGTTTTTAATTTAGTTTCAGTTAGTTTCCAGAGCGAGTTTACACATTTCAGTTCAGTTGATTGTTTAAAAATGTTTGGTTTCAGTTTAGTTTTTATTATTTCCATTGTTAGTTTTACATTTGTCTGGGGCCTCACACTGGGTGTGTTGATTTGACCAATTCGGAAAAGACTTAAAGACATTTCTTACATATTTTTATGTAAGACCCCTCAGTCACCTCTAGTGACATTATGAATGTTTGGGGGGAGGGGGTGAGAAGGTGAGGTGTGTAGGAATCCTGTTAGGGACACGTCTGGGATTATCTGGGATTTCCTGGTCAGTGTTAACATTGGCTTGATGTTACCATCAGATTGTGTCCAGTTTCAAAGCGACCACGTCCAGAGCGGTGTGCCAGCTGGTCAAAGAGTATGTGGGTCACAGGGACGGCATCTGGGACCTCAGCGTCACCAGGACCCAACCTGTGGTGCTCGGGACAGCGTCTGCAGGTATTTTCTTTTATGCTCTTGTACTTTATTTATGTCATACAGTCTTTTTTTTCTTCTTCCTTTCTGTGGCGGTGGTTTTGTCTCTAGCTTCATCTTCTGTCTTCAAACTCAGAGCTTCATGTGCCTTTGTCTTTCCTTCTGTTGTTTGAAATGTCAACATATTTAAACATGTTTAAGCTAAAGACCTAAACTAAAGCGTGATGGACAATTGTTAATAAATAAAAACTCAGACTGTCCTGTGTGCTTTCCAACAGACCACTCTGCCATGCTGTGGAGCATTGAGACGGGAAAGTGCCTCCTCAAATATATGGGTCACCAAGGATCAGGTAGAGTTAGAAATGTCAAACCCTGGAATTGAACCAGCACGTAATAATCTCTTCTGTTTAAGAAGGAGATCCTGCAGCATTGTGACCTGCTAAAATTGTTATTGCACAGTGATTAAACAGCCAACAGTCATAAAAACATTACTTGGTACACTATGCCTCAGTGGTGTTTGTCATGTGACAGAGTGCATATCTGTGTCTCCACAGTGAACTCCATCAAGTTCCACCCCACTGAACAGATGGCTCTAACAGGTAACCATCGACAGCATCAACATAACTAAGAGTTAAAGCAGAAGCAGCCAAATCTGTGTTACATGTATTTATTGCAGCAGCTGGAAAAATAAAAATGAAGTGAAATATTGTTTCGATACTTCTGAGAAACAATAACCCGAACATGAGAAGGCTTCTGCAGAAGGACTGAAAGTGTCAACGAATAAGTGTTGTTGTCTTTTTACTGCTGCTTTTAACCATAAAGTAAAACATGGACACAAATTATTTCTTTTTATTTGTTTTTCCTTGACTCTCAGCAGCTGTTTTACCCCTTTATCTCTGCCTTCTCCACAGCATCTGGAGATCAGACAGCTCACATCTGGAGATACATGGTGCAGCTGCCGACTCCACAGCCTGTTGCTGATATCAGCGTAAGCACAAAGTCGCTTTTTTTTTTCTTCCCCCTTAATATTTTAAAACTTGTTAGTGTTCCTGTCGTCAACGCCTCTTCCTCTCCCTCCTACATCAGCAGCAGACACCCTGTGAAGACGACGTGGACTTCTCAGACAAAGATGAGGCCGACGGCGAGGCGGAGGGGCCGAACGACTGCCCTTCCATCCGTGTGGCGACTACGACTCTCCGCAGCCATCAGGGTGTGGTGATCGCTGCTGATTGGCTGGTTGGGGGCAAACAGGTTGTGACGGCTTCCTGGGACCGAGCCGCCAATCTGTACGATGTGGAGACGTCAGAGCTGGTCCACTCACTCACTGGTAGGAAGACGAAAGTATTGAAATATGAAATATTGTGTTTATTATAAAAATGTGGAGCCCACACTGAGAAAAATATGCCGTTCAATCTCTCTGAAGTTGACTTGATGACATTTTATTAGTTGAGTTGAGTTGACCCAACTTCTGTGAAGAGTTTTTGGTTATATTGTCAGATTTGGTTAGTTAGAGCAAAGCTGTGCTTCTCCTTTCTGGTTGAAAATGAACTGTTTAAACATTTCAGCTCATCTGTTCTGCACTACAGTTATGACATTCTGCTTCCTTTTATGGTGCTGATCTTATTTCATTGGCATGTATTTAGTCATCTCCCTAAAGTAGATGTTTATTATCTCAGTGATGTAATTGTGTTGCCCTTAATTCTTTCAGTTTGTATTTAAAACACAGATGACCTGTACAACTTGGAATCTGCCATTTTTGGAAAGCAGGGAATCGTAAATCTTCTCCCAAAGCAGAAGAGGAATGCAGTGAGAATGTAATCGGTTTAAATCGCCACAGGCCTCCTCTGCTCCTGAGAGGAGGCCTGTGGTGTTTCTAAGGCGTGTAGAAATGTAGTATCAGGCTCCACGTTTATGTAGTTTCAGACAAGAAAGTATTTTATCATATGTCTAAAATAAATCATTATTTTTACTTGCTTATTAAACTATAACATTCAATATTTCCTAAAGTTTTTGATTGTCTCTGTGATGGACGTGTTTACACTTGCCTACTGATGTCATGTCAGACAGTGGAGTTTGTATCTGTCTGACTGATGAACAAAAACCAGGAAATTGGGAGGGATTGTGTGTCATTAAAGGTGCTGCAGTCAGTTTTGAACTGGGCGGTGTTCAGCCGAGTGAAGGTCTCTCTGTGAAATTGGAATAAATTAAGATATTAAACGGGAGATGGTGCAGTGTAGCTGGGTTGGAAAAGATTCCTCAGTGTAAGAATGGCAGCTTTTAAAAAGAAAGATAAACATGAAGGGAAAAAAGGAGGTGTGTATGCTCCTCACTGTGTGCTGCTGTCTCTTCAGGGCACGACCAGGAGCTGACCCACTGCTGCACACACCCCACCCAGCGTCTGGTAGTCACCTCGTCCAGGGACACCACCTTCAGGCTGTGGGACTTCAGAGACCCGTCCATCCACTCTGTCAACGTGTTCCAGGGGCACACTGAGTAAGCCGAACACCCATGCATCCATCCCTATCTGTTGCCTTCATGGCACTTGGTTCATAATAGAGGTGGGAATCACCATACATCCCACGATACGATATTATCACAATACTTAACGCACGATACGATATTATTGCAAT